ATCTAATATGTCAAAAAACCAATTACACCTGAACTGGAATTGTTATCATTTTTTTTTCTTTTAGCTGATATCTCTGTGTATATTTTAAGTCTAAAATAAGATCAAATGGCTACAAGTTGTCATGGTGTCCATGCTTAGGAAATAAGTTCACAAATTAAACTCTACTGTCACCAGCTCTGTGGGCAAGTCAAAATTTAGTCTTACAGAAGGGATTCGATTTACATTTTTTCAGTACCTCATAGGAGAGAAATGATGAATGCGTTTTATGAAAACATCCATTTCAGAATTTTCATATTTTCACTAGGCACAAGCACTCGATACTATCTATTATTTATGTATGTATTTATATTGGTTTTATTTGTTTATATAACACATTACCTTTTGTTATGATTTATTTTTTGTAAATTCTGGGAGCTATAATGGATTTCCTTTCTTATAGCAACTGGGCATGTACTGGGACTCCTGTCCCCTTGATAGGACCAGAAGGGACCATCGCCAAGTGCTGTTCATCTTATCACATGTAAATGATGCTGTGATACTTACCACAACTTCTATTAGGAAGAACGCTACTAGGAAGGAAAAGGCAAATGGAAAGATATTCATCTTGCAGCCAAGCACTCAATTCCTGGATATATTAGCAAACAATCCACATATGACATTGGTTTTGTTAGAAAACAAAAAAAAAAAAGCCAGCCACAAAAGGTCACAAACTGTGCGATTCCATTTAGGTAGCATTATTTAAATGACAAAATTATAGAAACGGAGAACAGATAAGTGGTTACAATAGTTCAGGGATAGGAGTTGGGGAGGTTAGAGGATGTGGCTATAAAAGGTCAACAGGAGGGATCCTTGTGATAGAACTTTTCTATATCTTGACTATATTAATGTAAATATTTTGGTTATTATGTTGTATTATAGTTTTGCAGTGTGTTACTATTGAAAATAACTGGGTAAAGGGTACAAGGCACTCATTTCTTACACTTGCTTGTGAATCTATAATTACCTCAAATATTTTGATATTCAGAATAATTAATTGTATAATGATAAGAGATCAAGGATAAAAACATATGTTTGGCGTTTGTAATGCCTTAATTTTTAAAAGATAAAATATGCATCATGTATGTTTATATGCTTGCTAATAATCAGAGTTAAATTAGTGGAGTTCTAGCTTAGGATTTAGAAATGAGACATTTAAGGTTCTTTTTTTAATGAGAGATAAGGATCCCTGGTGGTGCAGTGGTTAAAGTGCTCAGCTACTAACCAAAGGTCAGTGGTTCAAACCCACCAGTCACTCCGTGGGAGAAAGATATGGCAGTGTGCTCCTGTAAAGATTTACAGCCTTGGAAACCCTATGGAGCAGTTCTGCTCTGTCCTGTAGGGTCGCTATGAGTCAGAAGCGAGTCAAAGGCCATGTGTTTGTCTAGGTTATGAGAGATATTTACCATGTCTCATAATGTTGATTTTAGTTAACATATAAAATGTAGTTTGACAATCAATAAGAACAGTATTTTTTGAAAAATAATGTTTTTGAAATTCAGTGTTGCTGTTTCTGACTTGATGGCGGTTAACAATAATTTATGAATTGGAAAAATTTTTAAGAACTCATTTCATGATGTGTGTTGCTGCCTGACATAAAGCACATTCAGGTCTCCAGATAATTATCTTGAAAGTTTATTAAATTCTGTTGACAATTGAACAGGTTTCAAATTTTTTATATAAATAGCCTTTCTATTTTGTCTAATGACCAATTTTCCACCCAAATGAGCTTAGATTGCAGTCTTATAAATTTTTAATTATGATTTATAGCATAAAGCAGGTGTATTTCCTGCCTAGTCAGTGAAGTTGCTGATTTTATTGTAAAAGACAAATCCACAGCTCTTGGTATGCAAACGTGCCTAACACCTGCTCTTCAGAAAATCTCTATAACCTGGTATTTATATCCTTACAATATTTCTATGAAAAGAACAGAAACTGAACCTATTAAAAATAGCTTACAAGGGCCCAAGTTTATGTAATGGAACCCAAGGCCCAGTGCGGTTTGCCTTTTCTGTAATTTTATACAATTTGCTTAGCTTCAAATAATACAGGTAAATATTGTAACGGGGAAAGGACTAATATATACTTAGGAGGTTATAGAATATCAGGCATTTAGAGGCGGTAGATTGGTGGACATTGTTATGTATTGAATTGTGTCCCCCCAAAAGATATGTTGAAGTCCTAACCTCCAGTACCTGAGAGCATAAATTTGTTTGAAAATAGGGTCTTTGAAGATGTTATCAGTCAAGTTTACATGAGCTTATACAGGAGTAGGGTGGGTCTTAATCCTATTTTAGTGTTCTTTTAAAAGAAAAGAAGCAGAGACACATGGGAAAGGCAGCCATGTGTAGATACATCTACAAGTCAAGAAATGCATGTGGCTAGGAGTCCCTGGTGGTGCAGTGGTTAAGAGCTCGACTGCTAGCCAAAAGGTCAGCAGTTCAAATCCACCAGCTGCTCCTTGGAAACCCTATGGGGCAGTTCTATTCTGTCCTTTAGGGCAGGTATGAGTGAGAATCAACTCCAAGGCAGTGGTTTGTTTTTTTTTTTTTAGGAGTCCCTGGGAGGCACAAATGGTTAAATACTTGACTACTAAGTGAAAGATTGAAATTCAATGTTGCTATTTCTGACTTGATGAAACCCACTCAGAGGCACCTCAGAAGAAAGGCCTGGCAATCTGCTTCTGAAAGATCACAGCCAAGAAAACCCTATGGAGCACGTTCTACTCTGAAACACATGGTGTCTCCATAAGTCAGAATCAACTCAATAGCAATTGGTTTGGTTTTGACCAGAAGCCAGGAGCGAGAAGGAAGGATCTTTCCCTAGGGCTTTCAGAGTGAACATGGCCCTACTGACACCCTGAGTTTGGACTACTAGCCTCCAGAATTGTGAGACAATACATTTCCATTGTTTGAAGCCACCCACAGTTTGTGGTATTTTGTTACTGCAGCCCTTGGAAACTAATACAGATTTATAGGCGGGTGGATAGAGAGAAAGGGCGATAGAGAAATAGATAAATTTCCCCTTTTTATGGGACATTGTTTTCCTTTAGTAAAATTTACTATAGTAAAATTTCCTACCGTGAATTGAAATCAGACCACTACTAGTGACATCCAGCACTCCTTCCCCTCCTCACTCTCAACTGATATACTTCCTTCTTCTTTCACTAAGAACATAGAGGAAAATCAGAGTCAAATTTTCTGGTCCTTCCACCATATCTACCAGCCTAATATTATCTTCGTCCATGTGCTCTAACTTCCCACCTGTTATTATCAGCAAAGCTCTGTGTTCTTAAAGCCAGCCTTCTACAAGTTTACTGAATCCCAGACCTACTCCCCTATATGGAACTTTCCAGGAATTCTCCCCTCTACCTTCTTTATGATAAAATATTTTGTCTTTATTGGATTATTCCTGTTAATATAAACATGCTATAATAGCTCTCAATTTTAAAAGACATGTCCCCCTTTACGCCTTATCCCTGCCAGCTACCATCCCATATGTCTGATCTGTCTTACTAGTGAACAATTTGAAAGATTGTCTATAGTATTGTCCTCACTTTCATATCCCATTTTCTTTTGAATCCAGGCTAACCAACTTTTCTCCCCATCAGTCTCTTGAGAATGCTCTTTATAAATTCACCAGTAATGCCACATTGGAAATCTAGCAATCTATATTTAGTCCTCATCTTGCTCAGTCCATGAGCTCTGTTTGACACAGTTGATCTCTCACTGCTTTGGAAACCTGTGGGCTCTACGACTCACTTCTCCCTTGATTCTTCTACTATTTCTCTAGCAAGCTCTCCTCAATCGCTATTGTGTGTTCCTATCCTTATTCCTGTTCCTTGACTTTCTAGAGGCCCAGGGCTCAGCCTTTTCTCCTCTCTTTTTTCCTATCAACACTCATTTTTGATGGGATTTCATACAGTTACGCTTAGATGTTGAGGATTCTTAGATAGATAGTCCCAGCATCGGCCTCTCTTCCAAATCCTGACTCATATATCCATCTGCTATTTCAGTATTCCTCCATGGATATCTTTGAGGCTTCTCAAACTTCCTTAGGTGCTCTGCTCAAGTGTCACCTTATCAGAGAGGCCTTCCTGGGCCACTTTATATTAAACATGCAGCTTCCTGAGCCCAGCTTAGACTGAAAAAATTGGATTCTCTGGAGCTGGGGCTAATCCAGCTCCATGCCTAACAAGTTTTCTCAGGTTATTCTTATGCTGAGTAAAGGCTGAAAAAGTCTTCAATCTATCAGAACACAAGAAAATGCTGTCAGTTGTTCTGTCTTCAGATTTTCACAACAGGGAGCAGATGCCCCTTTATTTCACAAATAAGCTTTGATTAGCCTCAAAGATCAGTTAAATAAAGGAACAGTTTCTACTGGCAGAGATTGTGGGGCTCCAAACAGAGACCTGGGTCTGTTACAGTCTGGGAAAACAGGGTCAAAAATCTTGTACTTCTCTTCTCTGTAAAATGTGTAAGCCTTGAAAAAACTCATAGGTTTTATGACTTTTTATCTCTATGGGAAAGCTCAAGCATCCTTTTCAACATTTCCTCACCCCTTTCTTGTACAAATGGTTCAGTGCTCAACTACTAACCTAAAGGTTGGAGGTTCGAACCCACCCAGAGTCACCTGGGAAGAAAGGCCTGGCTATTTGCTTTCGAAAAGGTCACGCATGGAGTCGCCATGAGTTGGAATCGACTTGAAGGCAACTGGTTTGGTTTCGGATTTTTCAGTCTCTTCAGGAGAACCTTCTTGCCTCAGGATAAAATGTGTTTCTTAACATAGTTGATGACACTTGAGGTGAAATAATGAAATGTACATATAATTTAGCATAATGGAATTTGGGTTTTGAAGTGATTTTGAAAAATTGATAATCACTAAATGAATTAAGTGATTACGTTCTGCTGCTAAAATTATATTTTATAAATATTTACCACATTAAATTTTTTTGTGTTTTACAGGAATTGCATTGCCTCCTAAAGGAAGTATGGAAATTCCAGTGTTATTTATCCCTGACAGTATGAAATTATATAAAACAATGGTCGTTATTCAGATGATGAGGGCAAATGGAGAAAATTGGCCTATCGACAATTTTGATGAATTGGATACAAGGACAAAAAGGTAACATTTAAATAAAAGCATAGAAGGGAAATTATTTTTTGTGTGTGGGGGTTTTTTTTTAATTGTACTTCAGGTGAAGATTTACAGAACAAATAGTTTCTCATGAAACAGTAGTACACATATTGTTTTATGGCATTGGTTAACAACCCCACAACATGTCAACTCTCTCCCTTCTCGACCTTTTTTTTTGGTGAAAATATACATAGCCAAAGATACACCATTTCAAAAATTTCTACATGCACAGTTCAGTGACATCGACTATGCT